CTAAAGAATAGATTTGAGGCACTGAACACCAATGACCAAAAACCAGAGGAATTATGGGATGACATCAAGAACATCATCCATGAAGAAAGCAAAAGGTCATTCAAAAGAAAGGAAAGGAAGAAAAGACCAAAATGGATGTCAGAAAATACTCTGAAACTTGCCCTAAAGCAAATGGAAGAAATGACAAGAAGATTTCAAAGAGCAGCTCAAGAACACAAAGTCAATTATTATAATGAAATGTGCAAAGACATGGAGAAACCAAAAGGGAGGAACACATTCAGCATTTCTCAAGCTGGAAGAACTGAAGAAAAAATTCCAGCCTCGAGTTGCAATATTGAAAGATTCTATGGGCAAAAATATTGAATGATGCAGGAAATATCAAAAGGAGATGGAAGGAATACACAGAGTCACTGTACCAAAAAGAATCAGTCAATCTTCATTCATTTAAGGAAGTGGTATATGATCAAGAACCAATGGTACTGAAGGAAGAAGTTGAAGCTGTACTGAAGGAATTGGCAAAGAAGGCTCCAGGAAGGGGCGGACTACCCATTGAGATGTTTCAACAAGCAGATGCCATGCTGGAGGCACTCACTCATCTATGTCAAGAAATTTAGAAGATAGCTACCTGGCTAACTGACTTGACGAGATCCATATTTATAGCCATTCCAAGAAAAGGTGACCCAATAGAATGCAGAAATTATCGAAGAATATCATTAATATCACACGCAAGTAAAATCTTGATGAAGATAATTCAAAAACGGTTGCATCTCATGTATATAGACAAGATATAGTCTATGGATGGACTTGAGTCCCACTTTAAGGTCTGTAGCCTAACCACAGCCCAATTAATTCTTCCAATGTGGCCCCATGCCATACTTATCCTCATAATATCATCACTGAAGACTGCTTGCTATAGTAACGTATGGTGAAGACATTAGATTGTCCTGGCTATCAAAAAGGATTGTGTCTAGAGTCTTAAAAGTTTGTCCCCAAAAAAGCAGCCATCTAAAGGAGTCATCAACCAATCCATGCAGAAGAAAGCACACCAACCTAAGTGTGATCAAAGTATTTTAAATAAAATCTATGATCAAGAGGAGAGAATGTATGAGAGCTTAAATTCTAAAGTACTTGGTTTACGGAAGGCTGCAGTCTTACAGCAAGAATCGAACTCCATTTTGAGTCTTGATGTAAATTCTGAAGCCATTTGAGTTCTTTGTGTTACTTCCCCAACGTTTGCTGACCATTTGAGTTTAACAATGTGGCTATGCTTAGACAAGTTCCAGGCAAGCCCAGGAAGGGGCAGTTTACCTCAGAAAGAATGTGATTGAAAGTAGATTAACTAGCATGCAGAAAGATACTTATACATGAACTAGGAAACTTGCCTGGGCATGTCCTTCTTACATTAAGAACTTACCTGGGCATGTCCTTATTGATTTACTGAAAATAGCCAATCCTGTTACTTTTTAAACCTTCAATTATGTACGTCTCTCAGTCATGGTCCTTTCCTTGATTCCGTGGTCCTGCTACCAGTTATGTTTTGTGATGATTTCCTCTGTTCTCTATCATATATAATGAACACCATGATTGTGATTTAGCAAACTGAATCAGCCACTATACTGGGTGCATGGTGATGGTTGCCCTCCTGCAGATTAGTGCCTTTATTTTTGTCTTTGTCCTGTTTCAGGCTTAATAAAAGAACATGTTTGAATCTGGGGTCTTTTTCCCTAGCACAGTGGTTAGATGCCATTGAGTAGCTTCCAATTCAAAGCAACCCCACATACGCAGGTAGAACTGTGCTCCATAGGATTTTCAAGCCACGACCTTTCAGAAGCTGCTCTCTAGGCCTGTCTTCCAAAGCATGATGGTGTGGGTTCCAGTTGCCAACCTTTTGGCTAGTGGTCAACACTTAACCATCTGTGCCACCCAGACTCTTACAAAACCACTGTTGTTGTTGTTGTTGTTGTTGTTAGGTGACTTCAAGTCAGTTCTGACTCATAGCAACCCCATGTGACAGAGTAGAATTGCCCCATAAGGTTTTCTTGGCTGTAATATTTACGGAAGCACATCACCAGGTCTTTCTCCCACAGAGTCACTGGGAAGTTCAAACCACCAAACTTTCAGTTAGCAGTCAAATGTGTCAACCGTTTGCACCATCTGTACCACTCAAGGACTCCACAAAGCCATAAAAACCAAAAACAAACGCACTGCCATTAAGTTGGATCCGACTCATAGTGACCCCCTCCTTGGGTTTCCGAAGTGATAGCACTATGGAAGTAGCTTGCCCAGCCTTCCTTCCAAGGAGTGGCTGGTAGGTTTAACCACCAGCCTTCTGGTTAGCAGTCAAATGCCTTAGGCACTTGTGTTAGACTGAGTTCTCTAGAGAAGCAAAACCAGTAAAGCTTCTATATACATATAGAGAAAGAGAAATTTATCTTAGGAAAATGGCTCACATACTTATAGAAGCTGGCAAGTCCCAAGTTCTTGGAACAAATGTCAAGCTGGACACTTTTCCCGACTCACGCAGCTGCAGGGGCTGATGAGCTCAAGGTTGGCAGCAGTATACCGGCTGTTGACTCCAACGAATGACAAATCCAAGATCTCCAGGCCAAATGGTGGATTGTCCGCTCACGGACAGTTGTACACAGCACAACAGGATCCTGATCCACAGAAGAGTGTCTCTTCTCCCAGAATGTCTATAAATATATTGTAAGTAGGCCGCATCCCTAGGGAAACTCCCTTTCAACGGATGGCTGCTCAATACATATACATCCGATCCCATCATGGGAATAACCCACATCACAATTGCTTAAACCACACAGAATTTTGGTCCAGCCAAGTTGACATACAGCTCCAACTATCACAGCACTACACCACCAGAGTTCCCCACAAAGCCACAGTGCTAGTTATTTAGCTTTTCATCTGATGTCAACTGATAACATTAAAGAAAATGACCCTACTCTCCTTGGAAGTTCTTATCTTTTGTTAATAGCATTTGGAACAGGCTTTGGCAAAGCAAATCTACTTCTGAAAAAGCTAGACACTCTCCCAATTGAAAGTACTTTTATTGCCTTTCTGCATTAATGAGGAGTTCTAGTAGTGCAGTGGTTAAGTATTTGGTTGCTAATGGAAAGATGAGCAGTTCAAATACATCAGTTGCTCTTTGGGAGAAAGATGTGGCAGTCTTCTTCTGTAAAGGTTATAGCCTTCGAAATCTTATGGGGCATTACTGCTTTGTCCTATAGGGATGCTATGCATCAGAATCAACTCAATGGAAGGGTTTCCTACATTTATAGTCTTTGTAAAAATTTCTCAGGCGATTGATTACATTCTTAGAAAGAAAAAGAAAAAAAAAAAACCCTACATACCAAATTTTCCTTCATTTGCAGAAAATGAGCTACTCATTAGACGTGCTGCTGCCAAGATATTCATTAAGGTTCTTGGAGCTTCATGCTGCCATTGTTTCCTATTTTGTGGAACACCTTCAATTACAATAACTTGGCCACCTGAAGAGGAAACTGTGTTAGCAAATAAAGTAACATTTCTTCTTCATTCGCATTTTTATAAAATCACAGAATATTAGAACCTTTGAGGTAACCTAATTCCATGCCTTCATATTATTCATAAAGAAAGTCAGATACAGAAAAGTTAAGTGACTTATTGTCATGTAACTGATGGGTAGCAGAGTCAATTTTTGCTTTGTAAATGGACATTTTTGGTGTGTTAAGATTTCTATTCTATTTGCTCATTTTAAATCAGATTTCTTATTGTCTCATTGACTTAGAATAAATTAAATTGTATTGCTTCTGTAAACACTTTCCTTCTTGGAATTTTGATGATTCCAGTACTTTATCTCAGTGTAGATATAAATCAAGTCAATTCATACATTCATAAGTACTAATTTCAGTGATATACTTACATAACCACTGTACCACCAGGGCTCCTCTACATAACTTAATTTCTTTATAACACAGGTATAAATTTTAGCTCTGCTCCTAGCCCCACGTTTATCAAGAAGAACATGGGAAATAGTAATAAAAATCTTCACCCCTTGTAGAGGTAATAGTTTTCAGGAAGTTGCTATGAAACCTCTTCCAAGGAAAGGCTATGTCAGAAGCTTCAAATATAAATGGAGGAATATAGCTTCGAAATATCATCATATCCTAAACACTCCTAATATTCAAATAGTCCACTGATTTATAAAACAATTATATATATAGTGTATGTGTGTGTGTGTATTTTTCTCATTGTTAACTCTTTAAATCTTATGGGATAGCTGTTAAATTTACTCCAATTTTATTAATGAAAAAACCAACCCTAAGAAGTTATGAGGAAGTTACTGCATTAGCACTAGAAGGCAAATGAAGTCTACTGCCATTCCTTCTACACTCTCTCCTAACTATGAGGAAGGTGGTATTAGGGATTGAATATTGAAATATTGAATACTGAAATCCTGGCCCTTATATCTGTGGATGTAATCCTGTTTGGAAATAGGGTTTTTTATGTTAATGAGGCCACACCAGCATTGGATGAGTCCTCCTAATCACTTCTGAGTTACAGAAAGAATAGACACAGAGAAACGCAGACAGGGGCAGACAGACACCAGGTAAGGATTGTCTACAAACCAAGGAACGTCAGCGAACACCAAGGAGTCAAAGAACACCTGGGTTGTTAACAAGGGAGGAATAGATATGGCCGAGACCCTCATTAGGACTTTCAGCTTCCGTAACTATAAATAAATTGTTTTTAAAGCCCCCTACTGGTGGTATTTATGTTATAGCAGCACTAGGTAACTAAGACAAGTGGAATCCTGGATTTTTCATTGCTAGGAGAATCTGGATAATTTGCAGGCCAGCCTCTCTGGAGGCAGGGAAGAAATAAAGCAGTCATTGAAAGATATTTGATTCAAAATCCATAGAGACTGTATTCAAAAGTAAGAACTATCACATCAGGGTGGGCACTAGCAACATACTGGCACTGGGGCCTGGATCTTTTATGCTAACTGATGATAGTTTCACCTGCAGGTTTGCTGGGAAAGATGGAGGTGACATCGGCCGCTGCCATCATTTGCAGCAAGGTCTGTGGAGCTCCAGCATCCCATTGTCTCTTGTTTTCTGCAGCAGCAGCTTCCTGAGTGGGCAGCTCTGAGTGTAAGAAAATAACTCAGTAAGTCAGAAGCAACTGGTATGACCAATGTGTACCACATATTCTTAGTAAACCTGTCGACAGTTCATCAGCTGGCCAGCCCTTCAAGATAGAGAAAGCTCCCATCCTTATTCTAATACAGATTGTAATTTAGAAGACTGAAAGTAGAAGCAGGTTTGAAAATGGTTTCACTATCCTCCTTAATGTTTCACTGACCAGTCAACATATCCAAATGTTAAAGAAGTCATAGTAACACAAAATCCTTTACTTTAGTTCATATCCATGACAATGCAATCTATTTTCTTATTTAAAAGATCACTTGTATTGTTTTTTCTTTACGTATTACTATGTTTTCATCATAAGGAATTTGAAAAACAGATAAAAAGAAGAAAATAAAAATTACCCATAGTCCTACTACCTATAGACTATTAAAATTTCTATTTTTTCTCCTGCATATAGTTTTTTGCTTTGTTTTGAAATCAAAATAGTGATGCATATCACTTATCCTTTAAGAACTTACTTTTTCAATTAGCAATATAACATTTTGAGGTTATGAAATATTCTTTTTACATAGCCATTTTAAAGCCCACAGAGTATTCTGTTTCATGCGTGTATTATAATTTACACCTACTCCTCACATCCTGACTATTTTGTTATCCAGCATTTTGTGTTTACAACAATAGTAGAAAAAAAAAAATCTATTGGTATATTTTGTGCATTAAAAAGGAGACAAGAAATAGCCAGGTGATGGGGGCGAGGTGGAAGACGAGGTTTGCAAGAGGGAGCAAGGCCATGTGGCCATCAGTGGTTAGTATTACCTGGGTCAGGGAAAGGAGCCAGGCCTGTGGGAGTGTGGGGTGGGGTGGGAAGTGCATGGAAGGCAGAGGAGGCCAAGCCACTGGAGTCTTTTCTTCCAAAGAGGCCTCTTTGCCACCTCTGCAGCCTCCACTGGCCACAGGTAGCCAAGACTCACCTGCCCACAGGCCATGGAGCCAGTTGCCATTGAGGCCCATCTCTAGGACAGTGAAGTGGAAATGTGGAGAGGTGATGCACCAGGGTCACTGTGGAGGCCTGGAGCTCAGTGTAGAGGCCTAGAGTTCAGTCAGGTGATGGTAGGCTCCTGCTACTCCAGAGGCAGGGGACAACTCCTGAACATGCCCCTCCCAACCCCCAAAGGCTCTGTAGTGGTAGGAAGGCATGGTGGGGAAAGGGGGTGCCTACCACACCAAGCATATCCTTAGACACCTGAGCACCCATTGGGTGGTGAGTGACTATGCAGGAAAGCTGGTGCCAAAGACTTCTTAACACAACGTTGATTGTCACATAATGATCTGGTCTTTGGAACCTAATCATGTTGATAAGTGAGATTAGATGTATTTAACTAATTCTGTTTTGGTGAACCTCCTGAATTACTATGCCAGAAATGACAAACTGAAGAGGAATGGCATCACATTCATTGTTAAAAAAGACAATTTTAAGACTATCCTGAAGTACAACCCCATCAGTGATAGGATAATATCCATATGCCTACAAGGAAGACCACTTAATATGACTATTATTTAAATTTACACACCAACCAATGTCAAAGATGAAGAAATGGAATATTTTTAAGAAGTTCTGCCATCTGAAATTGATCAAACATGCAATCATTAATGGAAACTGGGATGGGAAATAAGAAAGAGTAGTAGTTGTAAAATATGGCCTTGGTGACAGAAATGAAACTGGAGATCAAATGACAGAATTTTGCAAGACCAATGACTTGCTCCTTGCAAATACATTTTTTCAACATAAATGGCAACTATACATGTGGACCTCACAAGATGGAATACACAGAAATCAAATCAACCATACATATGGAAAGAGATGTTAGAGAAACTCAGCATCATTAGCCAAAACAAGGCCAGAAGTTGAGTTTGAAATAGAACATAATTGTTCATATGCAAGTTCAAGTTGAAGCTAAAGAAAATTAAAACAAGTCCGTAAGAGCCAAAAATATAACCTGCCTTGGTTCTTAGTGTTGCTATACAGAAATACCACAAGTGGATGGCTTAATAAACAGGAATTTATTCACTTATAGTTTAGGAGTCTAGAAGTCCAAATTCAGAGTGCTAGGGGCTAGGTGAAGGTCCCTTGACCTTGGGCTTCAGCTCTGCCTATTATTTCAGGCCCACTGGAGCTAGAGGCTTCTTCTAACTCAGGAAGCTGCAGGCTACTGAGGTTGGTGAATCCAAGATTGACAGGTAAAATGGCACAATCTCAAAATCAGCAGGCAACCCGGTAGACTGCTGGTTCAAGTCCAGGAACTATCCTGAGATCAGCAGGCAACACGCCAGGCCACTGGGATGAAAACTCAGCCAAATGCAGGATCCAGATGTGTTAAGTATACAGTACTAAGTAGAGCAGTATACAAAGCTTCTCCTTGTATAGTGGAAGGAGAGCACAATCTGAAGGCAATTACTTAGCTACTCAAAGCAAATTCCACCATGGAGATGATTACAATCTCATCGTGGGAAAAAACTACACCCAGCTGCCCAACCACTCAAAACCATGGCCCAGACAAGTTGACACACAACGTTAACTGCCACATCTCCTGAACTTAGAGACTATCTCAAGAATAGATTTGATGCATTGAACACCAATGACCAAAGACCAGACAAGTTGTGGGATAATATCAAAGACATCATACATGCAGAAAACAAAAGGCTATTAAAAAGACAGGAAGGAAAGAAAAGACTAAAATAGATGTCAGAAGAGATTCAGAAACTTGCTTTTGAACTTAGAATAGCTAAAGCAAAAGGAAGAAGTGATGAAGTAAAAAAGCTGAACAGAACATTTCAAAGTGATATTCGAGATGACAAAGTAAAGTATTGTAATGAAATGTGCAAAGACCTGGAATTAGAAAAACAATAGAGAAGAACATATTTGGAATTTCTCAAGCTGAAAGAAGTGAAGAAAAAAAAAATCAAGCCTCAAACTACAGTATTGAAGGATTCTATGGGCAAAATATTGAATGACACAGGAAGCATGACAAGAAGATGAAAGGAATACACATAGTCATTGTATAAAAAGAATTGGTCGATTTTCTACCCTTTTGGGAGGCAGTATATGATCAAGAACTGATAGGACTGAAGGAAGAAATCCAAGCTGCACTGAAGGCATTGGAAAAAACAAGGCTCTAGGAACTGATAACATACCAACTGAGATGCTTCAACAAACAGATGCAACACTGGAAGCACCCATTCATCTATCCCAAGAAATTTGGAAGACAGCTACCTGGCCAATCAACTAGAAGAGACCCATATTTGTGCCCATTCTATAAAAATGGCACAAATGAATGTGGCAATTATCAAGCAATATCATTAATATCACATGTAAGTAAAATTTTGCTGAAGATAATTCAAAAACTGTTGCAGCAGTACATCAATAGGGAACTGCCAGAAATTCAAGCCAGATTCAGAAGAGGACAAGGAATGAGGGATATCATTGCTGATGTCAGATGTATCTTAGCTGAAAACAGACAGTACCAGAAAGGTGTGTGTTTTATTGATTACACAAAGGCATTCAGCTGTGTGGATCATAAAAACTTATGGATAATACTGAGAAGAACAGGAATTCCAGAACCCTTAATTGTGCTAATGAGGAACCTGTACATAGACCAAAGGGCAGTCATTTGAACATAACATGGGGATACTGTGTGGTTTAAAACCAGGAAAGATGTGTGTCAGGGTTGTATCTTTTCACCATACTCATTCAATCTGTATGCTAAGCAAATAATCTGAGAAACTGGTCAATATGAAGAACATAGCATCAGGATTGGAGAAAGACTTATTAACAACCTGAGATATGCAGATGACTCAACCTTGCTTGCTGAAAGCAAAGAGGACTTGAAGCACTTTCTGAAGATCAAAGGCTACAGCCTTCAGTGTGGATTACACCTCACTCAACATAAGGAAAACAAAAATCCTCACAAAAGGACCAATAAGCAACATCATGATTAATGGAGAAAATATTGAAGTTGCCAAGGATTTTATTTTACTTGGAACCACAATCAATACCCATGCAAGCAGTAGTCAAAAAATCAAATGACATATTGCTTCAGGTATATCTGCTGCAAAAGATCTCTTGAAAGTGTTAAAAAGCAAATATGTCACTTGGAAGACTAAGGTACTCCTAACCCATGCCATGGTATTTTTAATTGACTTACATGCATGTGAAAGCTGAACAATGAATAAGGAAGACTGCAAAAGAATAGATGCATTTGAATTGTGGTGTTGATGAAGAATATTAAATATAACATGAACATCCAGAAGAATGAATAAATCTGTCTTGGAAGAAGGGCATCCAGAATGCTCCTTAGAAGTAAGGATGGCAAGACTTTGTCTTGTACTTTGGTTATGTTATCAGGAGGGACCAGTCCCTAGAGAAGGACATCATGATTGGTAAAGTAGAGGGCCAGCAAAAAAGAGGAAGAGCCTCAGCAAAATGGACTGACAAGTGGTTGCAACAATGGGCTCAAAAACAAAAGTGTGAGGATGGTGCAGGACCAGACAGTGTTTGGTTCTGTTGTACACAGGGTCACTATGAGGCAGAAGAACAATAACAACACTGATTTTTTCACTATTATAAATAGTAATTTAATGGGCTCATTTGTAGCCAAATTTTCATGGGTGTTTATGATTATTTACTCCAGATAAATTATTGAAAGTGACACTTCTAGAGTATCATTTGCTTTACCAAAACTTTTTATTGTTGAAGTCAAATTTATTTCTGATTTATTCTGTGATTTTTTTTTCTATGTTTTGAATAGCTAGTTCTTCCCTATGCAAAAATTACTTTTACTTCCTTTATAGCACAAACCCCATTGCCGATGAGTAAATTCTGTCTCATAGTGACCCTATAGGGCAGAACAGAACTGCCCAATAGGGTTTCTAAGGCTGAAATCTATTCAGAAACAGACTGCTACATCCCCCATGGAGCAGCTGGTGGGTTCAAACCACTGACCTTTCAGTTAGCAGTTGAGCACTTTAAACACTGCACCACCAGTGCTCCTTCCTTGCTTTATAGGTGCATTATTTACAAATAAACCCTTCAATTCTTTTGGAATTTGTTTTGTTGTAACAAAATGCTATATTGCTAAATGCTATAACATGCTATATTGCTGTTGTTAACTGTTGGCAAGTCAGATGTGACTTACAGCAACCCCATGTGTTAGAGAGTTTTACTGTTCCATAGAGTTTTCTTGGCTGTAATCTTTTAGGGAAGCAGATCACTAGGTTGTTCTTCTTTGGAGCCACTGTGTGGATTTGAACTGCCAACCTTTCAGTTAATAGCCAACTGCAAACTGCTTGTGCCACCCAGGCTCCTTGTAACCATACTATGCAGGCTCTAATGTCGTGTTTTCTTAAAATTGTTAACCAATTGGCCCATCAGCATTTATTGAAATAATCATTTCTTTCCCAATGACTATGATGTCACTTTTCTCAAAAAACTCACTGCCATTGAATCGATTCTGACTCATAGTGACCCCCTTTGGGGTTCTGAAGTGGTAAATCTTTACAGAAGTAGATTGACCAGATGTCACTTTTAGCATACACTAAATTATGATACATAATAAACTCTCCTATTTCACTGCTTTGTCTATTCTGACATCAGTAGCATATTATTTAATGACTATAAATTTCTATAATATACTTTGATATTTGGAAGGGTAACCAAAAACTGAACAAACCCACTGCCATCAAGTTGATTCCAATTCACAGTGACTCCTGTTGGGTTTTGGAGGTGGTAACGCTTTGCAGAAGTAGATTGCCCCATCTTCCTTCAGCGGAGTGGCTGGTGGGTTTGAACTGCCAACCTTCTGATTACCAGAGCTCCTTTTAGAAGGGTAAGTGCCCCTTAATTTTCATTTTCAAACTTTCTTAGCTAGCGAAGAATCACTCGGCCAAAATCCCCACCACATTGCTCCAAGAACAACAAAAAAAAATTTCTATATTCGATTGCAGTATTGATATTGAAATCCATACAATCCAGTTATTCAAGTGGCCTTTAAATATTTCAGTAGTTTTATAGTTTTGTTCATATGTCCTGCATAAGTTTTATAAAGTTTATTCCTAAATATGACACACAACACAGAGTTGTTACTGTAAATGAGATCTGAAGATCAACAGGAAAATATTTGCAATAAATATTATAGACAAAAGTTTAATTTAAATGAGTCTTTAAAAAAAAAACAAACCTAAACATAACATTTTCAGTAGAAAATGAACACATATTTCACAAGAAACATGAGTGTTAAAAATAGGAATAATAATTATATGAAAGTGAGAGACTATTTTCAGTTTCAAACTGAAAATCTTGTTTCTTACTATCTTAAAAAAGGCAGTTTAGAAATACGGCAGCTATATCATTTGAGATCTTCAAGCCACTCTCTCCCCTTCCCAGTCAAACTATGCAAAGAATAGCATACACTCTAATACCAAACATAAGCTTGATGCTACAAAGGGCTGGGCAGAGGCCCCATAAAACCAACTGGTATGGAGTCAACTCCAACTCATGATGACCCCATGTATGTCAGAGTAGAATTGTGTTCAACTCCATAGAGTTTTTGATGGCCGATCATCCAGGAGTAGATCACCAGGGTTTTCTTCCAAGGTGCCTCTGGGTAGATTCAAAACCTTAACCCTTTGGTTAGCAGCCAAGGATGTGTTACAACAGAGCTCTAAATGGTGATGATGGGAATGAAAAGGAGGAGGAAAGCTCCAGAGATATTTCAGAGAAGACATTACCCTGCGTGGGCAGCAGGAACCGTCAGGATAGTGAGGGTTTTAACCAAAATGAAGGAGCACAGGATGAGGAGTAGCTGGGAAGGAAGAATAAGTAAGTTGAGTTTGAGACACTAGCAGAACTTGTCCACAGACTTCCCAGCAGATACTAAGAAAGATGGAAAAGTGTGGAGCCCCTGGGAGAAGGTAGTGCTTAACAAGTGGGTGAAACTGCCCAAAGAAAAAGTGTGAAAGAAAACAAGAGGGCTGAATCTCAGAGCCTGTCAACACTGCAAGGGTGGGAGAGAGGATGAGCATGTTGTCACAGAAGCCCAGCTCCTACAGAGCAGAGAGGGGGCAGGTGGAATGTGGGAGCCAGGGGAGGAGAGAGTTCAGATGGATCACTAGTAAAATGATCTCTTCTCATCTACAACTTTCACAGAACACATACCTGCTCCTGAGCAAAAGAGTTTTTCAGATGCTTTGTCAGGACACTCTTCATGCTGCTTCATAAATTTATCTTCCTTAAACTTCACACCATCCTCAAAGGTCAAAGTTTCATTTAGTATGTCCATTGCCTAAAGCAATTTCATGAGAAAGATACCATATTTTGAAAAAAAAAACAAATTGTGATCCTAGTTATACCATTTAGCCAGACATATAGTAAGTACTGAATATATGTTTATTAAACAAATAAATCAGTGGAGTTTCAAAACTGGAAATGTGCATATGGCAAATGTATTTCATCCAAATGTTTGTTGTTAGGTGCCCTTGAGTCATCTCCGACTCACAGCAACCTCATGTACAGCAGAATGAAACACCACCCGGTCCTGTGTCAGCCCCATGATCTTAGCTATACCTGAGCCCATCGTTGCAGCCACTGTGTCAATCCATTTCTTTGAGGGCCTTCCCCTTCTTCGTTGTCCCTCCACTTTGCCAAGTTTGATATCCTTCTCCAGGGAATGGTCCCTTTTTACAACATGACCAAAGTAGGCGAGACGAAGTCTGGCCATTCTTGCTTCCAAGGAGCATTCTGGCTGCACTTCTCCTAGAACAGATTTGTTAGTTCTTTTAGCAGTTCATGGTACTTTTAGCACTCTTCACCAACACCACAACTCAAAAGCATCGACTTTTCTTTGGTCTTCCTTTTTCATTGTCCAGCTCTCACATGCGTATGAGGCAGTTGAAAATACCATGGCTTGTGTTAAGCAGACCTTAGTCTTCAAGGAAACATCTTTGCTCTTCAGCACTTGAAAGAGGTCCTTTGCAGCAGATTTGCCAAATGCTATATGACATCTGATATCTTGACTGCTGCTTCCATTGGTATTGATTGTAGAACCAAGTAATATGAAGTCTTTAACAACTTTAATCTTTTCTCTATTTATCATGATGCTGCTTATTGGTCCCATTGCGAGGATTTTTGTTTTCTTTATATTGTTTTCTTTATATTGAAGTGTATTCCATACTTCAATCTCCATCAGTAAGTGTTTCAATTCACCTTCACTTTCAGTGAGCAAAGTTGTGTCATCTGCATAATGCAGGTTGTTAATGAGCCTTCCTTCAATACTGACGCCACATTGTTCTTCATATAGTCCAGTTACTCGGATTATTTGCTCAGCATACAGATTGAATAAGTATGGTGAAAGGATATAACCCTGATGTGCTCCCTTCTTGATTTTAAAACATGCAGTGTCCCCTTGTTCTGTTCGAATGACAGCCTCCTGGTCTATGTACAAGCTCCTCAGGAGCACAATCCAGTGTTTGGGAATTCCCATTCTTCTCTGATATCCACAATTTGTTATGATCCACACAATCAAATGCCTTTGCATAGTCAATAAAACACAAGTAAATATCTTTCTGGTATTCTTTGCTTTCAGCCAAGATCCATCTGACATCAGTAATGATATCTCTCACTCCATGTCCTCTTCTGAATCCAGCTTGCACCTCTGGAAGTTCCCTGTCAATATATGCTGCAACCATTTTTTAATATCTTCAGTAAGATTTTACTTGCATGCAATATTAATGATATTGCTCGATAATTTCCACATTCTGTGGGATCACCTTTCTTTGGAATGGGTACAAATATGAATCTTTTCCAGTCAGTTGGCCAGGTAGTTGTCTTCCAAATCTCTTGGCATAGCCGAGTGAGTGCCTCTAGTGCAACATCCATTTGTTGAAACATCTCAGTGAGTATCCCATCAATTCCTGGACCCTTGTTTTTTGCCACTTCCCTCAGTGCAGCTTCGACTTCTTCCTCCAATACCATCGGTTCTTGATCATATGCCACCTCCTGAAATGGATGAATATCAACCAATTCTTTTTGGTATAGTGACTCTGGGTATTCCTTCCATCTTATTTTGATGTTTCCTGCATCACTCAATATATTGCCAATAGAATCTTTCAGTTTTATAACTCAAAGCTTAAATTTCCTTTTCAGTTCTTTCAGCTTGAGAAATGCCAAGCATGTTCTTTCCTTTTGGCTTTCCAACTTCATGTCTTTGCACATTTCATTATAATAATTCACTTTGCCTTCTTGAGCTGCTCTGTGAAATCTTCTGTTTAGCTCTTTAATCTTGTCATTTCTTCCATTTGCTTTAGCTACTCTCTGTTCAAGGGCAAGTTTCAAAGTCTCTTCTGACATCCATTTGGTCTTTTCTTCCTTTCCTGTCTTTTTAATGACCTTTTGCTTTCTTCAAGGATGATGTTCTTGATGTCATCCCATAATTCCTCCGGTTTCTGGTCATTGATGTTCAATGCATTGAATCTATTCTTTAAATGGTCTCTAAATTCAGGAGGGATATAATCAAGGTCATATTTTAGCTTCTGTTTAATTTTAGCTTGTTTTGTCTGCAACGTCAAGTTGAACTTGCATATGAGCAGTTGATGGTCTGTTCCACAGTCAGCTCCTGGCCTTGTTTTGGCTGAAGATACTGAGCTTCTCCATCGCCTCTTGCCACAGATGTAGTCAATCTGATTCCTTTGTATGCCATCTGGCAAAGTCCACATGTATAGCTGCCATTTGTGTTGTTGAAAAAAGGTATCTGCAATGAATAAGTTGTTGATCTTGAAAAATTGCATCATGCGATCCCCAGCATTATTTCTACCTCTAAGGCCAAATTTTCTAACTGCCGGAGATTCTTCTCTGTTTCCAAGTTTTGCATTCTAAGCACCAGTGATACTCAACACATCTTGATTGCAATGTTTGGTCAATTTCAGACTGCAGAAGTTGGTAAAAATCTTCAGTTTCCTCATCTTTGACTTTGGTGGTTGGTGCGTATATTTGACTAATAGTAGTATCAACTGGCTTTCCTTGTAGGTGTATGGATATTATTCTATCACTGACAGCACTGCACTTCAGGATAGATCTTGAAACATTCTTTGTGTCATGCCATTACTCTTTAATTTATCATTCCCGGCATAGTAGATCATATGGTTGTCTGATTCAAAATGGCCAAAACAGGTCCACTCCAGCTCACTAATGCCTAGGATATCAATCTTTATGCACTCTATTTCATTTTTGACAACTTCTAATTTTCCTAGATTCATACTTCGTATATTCCATGTTCTGATTATCAATGGATGTTTGCAGCTGTTTCTTTTCATATTGAGTCATGCCACATCAGCAAATGGAGGCCCCAAAATCTCTACTTCATCCATATCATTAAGGTAGGCTCTATTCTGATGAGGAAGCTCTTTCCCAGTCATATTTTGAGTACCTTCTAACCTGAGGGGCTCATCACCCAACACTGTATCAGACACTGTTTCAGGGCTATTCATAAAAATTTCCAGTAATATATCAGACAGTATTTTACTGCTATTCATAAGGTTCTCACTGGCCAATTCTTTGAGAAGTGGATGGCCTCTTCCTTCTTCCAAGTCTGTCTCAGTCTGGAAGCTCCACCAAAACCAGCCCACTGTGGGCACCCCTGCTGGCACAGCTTCCAGCCTCACAGCAACATGCAAACCACCACAGTATGACAAACCAACAGACAAGTTTGTCTCCCTTAGCTGTTCCAACCCCTCTGCTCACTTCCTGGGCTACCCCCTTCCTGTTCCTGCTGGCCCTGTCTGCCACAGCTCTGACACCTGGGGCTCTCCACTGCCCGCCTTACCTGTTCCTGCTGCTGGCCCTGTCTTCCCATCTCCTGTCTGCCACTGCTCCCTGCTCAAGTACATTCAAATGTACTGCCTTTGATAGTATTCCACTTAAGCTCCATTCTACAGAACTATCAAGGTTAACTCATCTACATCTTGCTTTGAGAATGCAACATACCTAATCAGGTCCCTAAAATTGTTCCCAATACTCCACAGTCAATACTAAAGTGTTTGGTTTTGTTTCAAACATATCAAAGATGGAATAGCAAAGGATGAACACCCTTGTGAGTAAAACTTTCTTGACCTATTCTTTGATTCTAGCAGGCCAATATCTGAGCCTCTTTTCACAAAACTACTACGGCTGTACCACTCCTTGGGTTCCAACCTGGAAAGAAGCCCCAGACCTGCCCCCTACAGCTCTGAGCCACTCAGAGGCCTAGTGGCTAAACAGAGGTAAGTACTACTATGATTACTCTAATAAAGTTTTGTGTAGCAAAATGCTTATAAAAGAAGTGAGAGGAATGATAACATAAACAAAAAAAAGTTAATAAAGGACATGGAGAAAAACTGATTACCAGGAATTATATACACACACACACACACACACACACACATATATATATATATACATACACATACATACATATATACATATATACATACACTCATTGTTGTTAGCTGCCATCAAGTTGATTCCAATGCACAGTGACCCCATGAGTGCAGAGCAGAACTGTACCATCGCATTTAAGGCTGTGCCCCTTCAGAAGCAAATCACTAGGCTTGTCCTTTGAGGTGCTTCTGGGTGGTTTCAAACTACCAACCTTCTGGCTAGTAGTGGAGCACTTAACCATTTGTATCACTTACAAACTCCCACATAAAAGGCAAATTCAGAGAAGGTGAAATGGAAATATGAATCAGTTAATTTTTATGTGTGTTAGTTGGTCTTGGAAAAAGTGGGATAAGTAAGATGTTGAAATCAAATAATAAAATGAGGTTTGGATTTGTGCACTGCATTTATGCACTGTGACAAGAAGAGCCCAAATGCTTAACTGAAGTTTACCCAAAGACCTGTACAAAGTTATCAATAACTAATTAAGACATGAAACAAATGTGTATGGTTTCAGGGTCCTGTTCAATTTTTTAGGTAAAGTATGTTAGGTGTTGACTATGTATCATGCCAAAATATGTACACATCTTGACATGATGTAAAAATTAATATGATAAAATGTTAATATGATATTGAAATGGCTAATTTATAAAACAAAAATTAAAATTAAATAATTCATCCAAGGAAATAACCTCAAAAAAATGGGAGGATAAAAAGTATTTTGAAAGACTGATTTGATCACCAGAGAGAGATCTTCCAGGAATATTTAGGAAAATTCTCCATACAGCCTGTGGAACAATATCATGAAATATGCTATTAAGACACACTCATTTTCTTATACCTACTAACGGAAGTATAGAGTTCATGGCATACCTCTTTCTCTTCTAGGGTATTTTCTTCAAAAATACATGCATCTAAATTAATCTCAAACTTTACCCCTCTCTAAAAGAAAGCAAGAAAAAAAATCTTAGTTTAGCAATCCAACAGTTAAAATTATAACTCCCTCGGTCAATTTTCTTTGACACTAAACTCATTGCTGTCAAGTCAGACTCATAGCAACCCTATAGGGCAGAGAACTGCCCCACAAGGTTTCCAAGGTTATAAATTTTTATAGAAGCAGGCTGCTTCATCTTTCCCCCACAGAATGGCTGTTGGGTTCAAACTGATGACCTTCTGCTTAGCAGCCCAGCACATTCACCAGTGCACCACAAAAAACAAACTCACTGCTGTCGAGTCAGATCCAACTCATAGTGACCCCTCCTTGGGTGTCTGAGGCAGTATCACTACGGAAGTAGATAGCCCAGCCATCCTTCCAAACTGTGTCACAAGGGCTCCATTTTGACATTACTAATACTTAAAACTATTAGTATGATGTTGCAAAATAAGACAATTCCATGTTATAGTAGGAAAAATGGCCTGCAGGTGACCCAGATGAAATGGTGTGGACACCTAACTAGTGTTTTAATATGGAAGCAAAAGACAAAAATGTTTATTACCTTAGCTTTATATTTCTGTTCTGGAATTTTACTTTCCTTTATGTCCTGAAGCCTAATATGGTTCAAGTTTCTTTCACTTTCCTGAAAAGTAAGAGAAAATTAAAATTCAATCATTCAGTGTTGACCAAATAATTACATTTACACAACACAGTATTTACATGGTTTGACCTCTGACGATTGGATGGAAAAAAAATGCCTTTGTAAAGGAACATAAATAATAACTCATTAAGATGGCGGACTAGGCAGAAAGACGGCACAGACCCTCTTCAACACAGAAAAGGGAAAC